CCATCTTCGAAGCCTCAAAAATCCTCGTACCTAAGCGATGGTTTAGGGCCTTACTTGGAGGCCCCTTTGACTTAGTAAGTCTACTTAGTATCCCCTAGAAACCCCCTTATAATCCCCATAACCCACCTTACTAACCCTACTTAACCCTAAACCCTAAACCCTAAACCCTAAACCCTAGGGCCTCCAAGCACGACCCCCAACCCTGAAGCCAACGGCCGGAAGCCGTCATGAAGGAAGCTGATTCGGATCCTGGGGTCTTCATTCCCTGAGACTCCAACATCCCTTAGTTAAGGAATATACCTTAAATCATATTAGGGATCCTACTCGAATTTAAAGTATATTCCTTAATTAAGAGATGTTGGAGTCTCTGAGTTCAAGTTCTTTGTAGCCTGGGTCATGATAAGCGCAGTCATGGAACCAGGGCTTAAGGTTTACAGGGTTTAGGGGCTTCATTAAGGTTCTTTATAGCCTGGGTCCTGATAACCGCAGTCATAGAACCAGGGTTTCTTAATCAGGTTCCTATATTATATAGGAAAACGAGATCCGAAGCCGAGCCCCAAGACGCCACACGGCTCCTGTCTCGCGCAATTTCGCAGCTTGCCGCACTCGAGCCTGGACTTGCCGTGTTTGCGCATTCGTATGATGACGAGGCTGTGCTGCTTTAAGTAAGTCTCGATACGGCTCTGTTTGGGTTTCATTCATACGGCTATAGAGTAGGATTTCACATGCAAGCACAAGTACTGGGGTGTAGTAGGCACCGGATCAATCTAGACTGCAGAATCTGACCTCGCTGGGCCCTGAACCTTTAAACCCTATAAGCCCCAAACCCGAAGCCGCGAACCCTTACACCCCTGAACCCTACACCGCAAGCTTTCAACCCCTCAACCGACCTCCCCTTAACCCTAAAACTGAAGTCCTACTGGCCCTTAGCCGGAAAGCCCCAGAGCAGTGCCATCGGAGAAGCGTCGTTCAGGCCACGAAAGAACTCGGCAATTCGAGGATCCTGTGTAGTAGGTTTCAGGGCTTCCCTGGCCCCTATACTTGTGGAACAGGGTTTCGGGCTTAAGCCTTTCTAAATATGTGACCCGTGCAATCAAAGGCCATAATAATACTAAACCCTCGAATCGACAGTATGGTACGCCCAGGAGGAGAGTGCTGTCGTGTTCTATACCGTTTAGGCCACAGCGTGCGAGTCTCTGAAACAAGGTTCCGTGGGGTCTAGGAAACCTTTAACCTGTCTCCAAAACTAAACGGGTTTAGGGTTTAGGTTTAGGGTTTAGGGCGTGGCGCAAACACCTAAACCCTAAACCCTGTTTCGCCAGAGTCACCAGTATGCCTCCAAGATATAAGAAGGGCGATGCGTCCGGAAGAAAACCTCCTACCGGGCTAATTACCTATGTCCCCAGCCGCAACCCATGTACTTTATCCTAAACCCCCTAAACCCTAAACCCCCTAAACTCCGTAAACTCCCTGAACCCTAAACCACCTAAACCCTAAACCCTAAAACCCTAAAGCCTAAACCCTAAAGCCAAAAACATAAACCCTAAACCCTAAACCCTGAGCTAAATCCCCTGAAACTTCAACCCTGAATCTGAGAAGCCGGAACCCTGAACCCTAAGAGCCCTGTAAACCTTCAAGCCAGAATCCTCAATCGTCAACCCCGATCCCGATCCAGGTTCTGCAGATTGTGTAGACGAAAATATATGGAAGATGTACCCAATTTGACCATCTACAATCCCCAAACCCCTGAACTAAACCCCCTCAGCCCCAAACCCTGAACCCTGAACGCCGGGTGGTCCTGCGGATTGTGGGGATCACTCCCCAGCTCTGGCCAGAAAGTGGCGGAGTCGAAACCTGGCGGTACCACAAGGTTTCGTTACCCTAAGGGTCGATGTGCCCAGAAAGTATGTACTTTGGCCTTAAAGTCGTCCCTAGACAGGTACTTGGGGCACCAAGTATATACTATTTGGGTACATGGACCCTCAGGGTTTAGGGTTCAGGGTTTAGGGTGCGTTTGGGAGTTTTCTCCACAGCAGCAGGTCCAGCCTCACTCCGCTAGCAGAGCACGCGCTCAAACAGAAACGGATGATGATCCCCCAGCAAACTTTGACCTCACTGACCATGTAAGGTTTATGGATTACGGAAAAAGGGTTCAGGGATTGGGGTTTAGGGTTGAAGCTTAAGGTTTGGTTTTGGTTTGGGGTTTTCGGCTTTAGGGTGGCGTTGTAAAGCCTTGAACAAGGCTCCCAAAGGATGTAGGAAGGAAAGGGCTAAGTGGAGCAAACAAGTCACAGAAGGTTACCCGGATGCCTACATGCAGGGTTTTCTTGCGGCCGTACCCAAAGCCCCTAACCCCTAACCCCTAAACCCAAAACCCTAAAACCTAAACCCTAAACCCGTGAAAGTCGTTAGAAAGGGTGTTGTAAGGCTTTTTTGGGCCTGGGGGGTGTTGACTTCCCCTTCGGCCGTCAGCAATCGGATCTAAGGTCTAAATGTGCCGACTGAATGGGGCTTAGATGTTGCGGGTGTGGGTTTAGGCTTGCTGGCATAGAATGGAACATCCACCCAAATCGCGACTGGAATGGGGCTCTTCTCCGTGCATGGCACCTGTGGGATCTTGTCATAGCATCAGCCTTGAAACGCGAAGATGTTGAGGCTCCGACATCAAAGTATCTTTTGTTTCTGCTCATCCCTGATACCAGTGGCATCTAGACCCCGTTACGTCAGTCTTGTGAGAATTGCATCTGCCTCCATGCGGCACCATTGCACCGGAAAAATCACCTGAGCGGCTTCAATGAAATTGAAAGGGGTGGGGGTGGCACATGCAAACGTGCCTAGGGTTCGCCCGCCGAACAGCTTTATTTCCCCTAGGAGTTCAAGTATCTAACAATCATACGTCAAGGATGATTCCCGGACACAGCGCCCTAACACCACACCGTGGCACGTTGATACCCAAACCTCCGTCAAACCCTGAATACCAAGGCAAAACCCTGAACCCGGCAACCGCAGGGAGCCTCGCCTCATTCCACAACAGTTCATGCTCTGAAAGTCAAGACCCCGCAACTAAACCCCCTAAGACCCTAGACCCCTGAATCCCTAAACCCGAAACCCCAAGACCCTAAGACCCTAAGACCCTAACCCCAAACCCCAAGACACCTAAACCCCAAACCCCTAGCCCAGCGGCCTTGGTACCAGGAGAAGAGCGGGCACACCGCTACCCCTGGTGCGATGAAAGCAGGCTTGGTGTGGACTCCGCACCTTGGAGGTTTAGGGCTGAGGGGTTTAGGGCCTACAGCTTGGGGCACTGAAGGGCTTAAAAGGTTTATAAGGCTTTATAGGGGATGTAGGGTTTGGTGTTTACAGCGTTTGGGGAGGTTCGATCCGAAATCACTGGCGAGCCTAAATGTTTATTTATAAGTGTGGAACCAGAGGTTTGAACATAAAGGCCTGTGAGTTCGGTAATGGGCCAGGCCCAGGGTGTGCAAGTGTATCTGATAATGTTAACCTCATTGACTCATTGTTATAAAACCTGAACCCCAGAACTCAATTATCAACCCCGCCACCGCAATTATAGAACCCGACGCCCTACGCCCCGTTTTTTTTTTGAGAATTGTGTGATGTCGGCTTGCTTAGCTTGTGGGAATCAGCTCCAGTATTGCAGAGGGAGAGAGAGAGAGAGAGAAACAAAAAAGAGAACAACTGCAATTACTACGGATGAGATTTCACACTCGCGCAGAAGCAAGCTTTAGAAGCCACGCCCTTCACTGGGAAAGCTTGGGATTCAAAAGGGACAGCAAGCTTTTTTTTTAGTGGACAACAAGCTTTAGAAGCCAAGCCTTTGATTGGGAAAGCCACGGGACTCTGAAACCACAGATTTAGAGGATCTCAGAAACCATGCCTTCCTTACTGAAGTTCCTCATTCCGGAAGCAAACAAACAATCAATCCATCCTGATGGAGTACAAACAAAAACCGCTCTTCCGAATTATAACCCCCCCTCAATTATAAACTCCTCCCGGGGATTGCCTTCTGGTGGTGACTGCAGGAGCCAGGAAAGGGAAAACAAATTTGAGAAGCCAAGCCCTTCATTGAGAAAGCTTTCGATTCAACAGGAAAGCAAGCTTTAGAAGCCAAGCCCTTCATTGCGAAAGCTTTGGATTCGAAAGGACTGCGAGCTTTGCACGCCAAACAATTACTACGACCGCTCCAGTATTGCAGAGAGAAACAAACTGCGACCCCTCCACTACTGTACTATTGTAATACTGTACTACTGTGCTGTTTACTGCTTTGCGACGACCGACCCCCGCCCTCAATAGTCAACCCGCACCTGCCTGGGCCTGAAATCAAACAAGGGGAAATTAAAATGAAGTGGACATTAATTCCACTTCCCAAGCCGCAAAACCTAAACGCCAAGACCCTAAACCCCAAAATCGTAAACCCCAAAACCACGAATGAGGACAAGGGCTCCCTGATGGAACTGTCCTAGAATTATATACACTACCATTATGGACTTCGGTCCCAAAAGACCATCCCTACTATGGTTTTGGGGACCCAACTCCGTAATAGTAGTATATAGGGACCTTGGGTTTAGGGTTTAGGGTTTAGGGTTTAGGGTTTAAGCATAAGGGTAGTTCTCTACATTAGATTCCCTTTTAAGAACCCCGAAGAAGGCGGCACTCTGAAAAGAAGGATCCTAGAAGGTACCCAGGTTTAGAGAGCTACCCATATGCTGAACGAAAGGATAACGAGCCTAAATTCCCAAACTCCTCCCAAATCCCTAAATACCCGAAAATCCCTAACGCCTGAACTAACAAACCCTTGAAGTCCTAAATCCCTGCTGCCGACCCTCCTAATCCCCGCACCGCTAAGCCCCCATAACTACAACCCTACATGCTGCCGTCCCAACAAGTCCAGGCTACTCGGCACACAAACGGAGAATCTCCAGGAACTTCGTCAAGGATGTGGACTGCTGCGATGGGTCGCGCGCCACCTTAATAAGTGGGTTTAGGGTTTAGGTCAGTGAGGGTTTTGCGGCTAGGGCTTATAGCGTATGGGATTTAGGGTGAGGGTTTGGCGGTTCGGGGTTGCGGTCCCTGTAGCTCTGGACCCTCCCAAAACTGGTTGTGACCCCTTACGTAGTTACTTCGAGGGCATCACGCCAAAAAACAGCAGGCTATTCTTGAATCCTCAGATCTGACTATGGTGGTATCTAATCTCGAAGCCGTCAGGCCTAAACCACAATTCAATCTTGAAACGCAAACCTCGCTATGCAAAACCAACCCAAAACCAAGAAACCCGAAACCCCAAGACCCTACCTTACCCCCCAAGCAGACGTTAAGAACGTGGGCATTTCAAGGAGTAAGTACAACCTTAGATACAGTCCTGACGCCCGAGAAAACGATTAAAAAGATCCTAGATCGCTCAAAGCCCTGTGAGTATATCTAGTATCTATGAAACTCCTAATGTCGGGACCTTAGTAATTGGAATAGGGTTTTGGGGTATATTATACTATAACTATAGTAAGGAACACCCAAAAACTGTCTTCGTAATTATTTAGGCCGTTATTATACTATCGAATCCCCAAACCCTTGACCCTGGCTGCGCCACCCAGAGCTCGTGGTTGCCGGGAACGTAGAAGACCTGGGTTCTTGTTGTTAATGAGTTTTTTTCACGTTAACATCACAAGGAAACCCTATTATTTACTGTAGAACCCCATGATGACAACTTAAACTACCCTTAGAACATCTAGAAGAACCCTCAAAAAGCACCCAAGCCATAAATCAAGCATGGCTTACCACAGATCTCCATTCTGGCAACCACACTTAAAGGACTCTTCATACCCCTAATCCCTAAAACCCCTATTAAACCCCTAAACCCTAATAAACGGAAAACCCCTAGGCCCCTAAACCCTAAACCCTATATAACCTGAGTTCCTGCCCAAAACAATTCCAAGAGGCGGCCCGGAAACGCGAAACGCAAAGCTCCATGGTGGATCTCCTGAGGTTTAGTGTTTAGTTTTTAGGGGTTTAGGGTTTAGGGTTTAGGGTCCGGGGCTTTCGCTTCCTACCGGGGGTTGGTAGGGTTTAGGGTTTAGGGGATTACTTCCTACGGGGGGTTGATAGGGTTTAGGGCTTAGGGGGATTAGGGTCTAGAGTTTAGGGGTTCAGAGGTTTAGGGGTTCAGGGGTTTAGGGGCTTAGGGCTTAGCTTGTGGAACCTTTATGAGGCTTCATGGGTTTAGGGATTAGCTTTAAGGCTATACCCTTAACCTACTTTTTTGGTAGGGTTCGGGTTCGTGACAAGAACCTACGAAACATAGGTTGTGGTTAAGGTAGGGTTGATGTTGTCGGGGAGGGATTTAGGGTCTCGGGTTTAGGGTTGGCTGAGGGTTCAGGGTTTAAGGTTTCCATCTCGAGGTTAAGGGTTTAGGGTTAAGAGTCGTTTAGATTGGTTGAGGTTTTAGGGTTGGTTTAGGGTTTAGGGTTGGTTTAGGGTTGAGGGTGGATCTAGAATTTAGAGTTGGTTTAGGGCTTGGGGTTTCCAGCTGGGGGTTAAAGAGTTTAGGGTTTCGGGTTGGTTTAGAGGGTTCAGGGTTGGTTCAGGGCTTCCATCTTCAGGTTTAATGTTTTATGTGTCCTTGTCTAGAGCGATCTTTACGGGGCCTGAGCTTGAAATGTTAGGGCTAGGGACTACAAGACTTCGATAATCTTCCTGTGCTGCCGTAACAAATCTTGCGGTTTCGAGTTTAGGGTGTAGTAATTTAGGGTTTAGGGTTTAGGGTTGGCAGGTTTCAGATTTGGGATGCTTCCGCGTGATCTTTCGAACCTACCGCTTTTGAGATGGAAATTCTGTCTTGCTCTTGCATGCTGGTTAGTGATAGTGTTCCAAACCCTAAACCCTAAACCGTATAATTAGGGCGGGCTGCTTCTCATCCAGGCGCGTTTAGCAGCTCCAGGATTTGGGGCAGCTGAAGAGGGCTAACCCAAGCCCTAAACCCTAATTGTAAGGTGTCAAGTACTTAAACCCCATCAAGCCTCGAGCCTCGAGTTGATATGGGTACTTCTCGAAATTAGGGTCCCTGTCAGGGTCCTTTGTATATAAGGGTGCCGTACTACTTTGGGGACCCAGAAGGAACCCTACAGCACTACGCATATCCCAAAACCCTAAACCTTGAACCGCTAAACCCTGGTCCCTAAACCCCTAAACACTCCAAACCCCTGAACCCCTGAACCCTCTAAACCCAAAGAGCTCTTAACCCTAAACCCTCTAAACCCCCAAAGCCAAAACCCTAAACCCTCTAATCCGCTATACCCTCTAAACCCTAGACCCTCACGCCTAGAGCTTCGAGTTTTATGTTCCCATCCGAGGATCAGCAGCTCCAGATTCGTGCAGAGGTCCCCGCAGAGGATGACGGCAGCCTCGGAATCTCCTGCGACGCCCTCCAGGAACCTGCTTTGGGTTTAATTTAGGGTTTAGGGTTTAGGGTTTAGGATTTAGGGTTTAGGGTATAGGGTTTAGGGTTTAAGTTTTTTTTTTTGTTGGAGGGGGGGTTGGGGGGGGTTTAGGGTCTAGGGTGTAGGGTGTAGAATGCAGGGTTTAGTGGCATTTTGGGTCTGGGGTTTAAGGGTTTTAGGGTGTAGAGTTCAGGGTTTAATGGTATTTAGGGTTGGGGCTTAGGGGCTTTAGGGTTTCGGGATTCGGGTTTGGTGGTATTTCGGGTGTCTCTTCCTTAAGCTGCCAGGACCCTACCTCTTTGTAGCGGCCTCTTATCAACCCCAGAAGAGAATTCACAAACAAAAAGCAGGTTTGGTCGCTCCAGGTATTGGTTTTCGGGTTTAGGGTTCAAAGCTCAGGGTCTAGGGTTTAGGGCTGTGCACCCAAAGGGTCCAAACTACCTATATAGTAGAAAAGGTAGGGTTTCTATATTAGGAACTACTATTACGATTTGGGAAAGTGTCCCCCCAAACCCTAATCCCTAAACCCTAAACCCTAAACCCTAAACCCTAAGCCCTAAACCGTACCTGGGACCCTTTGGGAGATGCATGGGCTTAGGATGTTATGCTTGCCAGGTACGCTCAGGGCTCAGGAGTTAGAAAACATAGCAAGAGCTAAAATTGAGCTTTAGGGCTTGGGGTTTAGGAGTTTAGGGTTTAGGGTTTAGGGTCGCGGCTTTGAAGTTCAGCGGTTATACGTAGTACCACAAGAGGTTTTAGGTTACTTATTCCATGACTGAGAACAAGAGACCGGGCTAAGCCCTACAAGCCGTGACTAGCTTGCAAACTCGAAGCCCCAAAGCGAGTCAGAGGTGACAGCCCCTAAAGTTGCAAGATAGCAGCTAGCAGCCAAATCCCTATCTAAAGCGGATGATGGAGGGGGGGGGGGTTGAACCTATTACTTGCTCTGAGCCCTAGGAACTATAAGCCCTGAGTTCTAAGCCCCTAAGCCCTAAGCCCGAAAACCTAAACCAGGGCGAGGGGCTCAGCATTGGGTTTGAGGGCTCTTGCGGTTTTGGGTTTAGGGCTTGTAGGGTTTAGTTTAGGGTTTAGACCATTTCAAGCTTATATTGTACAGGCTCGGTTTGGGATTTCTAGATCGGTTCTGCTTGATTCAAGAGGCTATCGGAAATCAATAATTTGGGGGGTGTCACCCCCGCAGTTGCGGCTCATGTGCTTCTCCAACCCGAACCGAAAACCCTAAAACCCTGACTCTGCAAGCAAGTCCTGGGCAGAAGCACCCCAGTCCCTCGGCTGGCAACCCACGCGCAGACTGTTCGGCTTCGGCATTTTTGCTCAAAATCCTATACGCCCTGTAATTAAAGACTCTGATGTAAACCCCGCGCCCTCTGCCGCCTCTGGTTCTCACCCATGTCCTGGCAGGGAATGCGGAAGTACAAGGCGCAACAGTCAGCTCTAAACATGATTTCTCGTGTGGTCTGTCAAATCCGAATACGGTTGTAAGGCATACAGTAAGGGCTTAGGGTTTAGGGTTCATACGACCTGGAACAAACGAATGCTTTTCCGCAACCTTGGCATTAAATGTTGGGCTTTTTGGCCATTAGCCTTTCAACCCACTCCCCCAAGTCTTGAGAGTCCTGCCTGACACCCGCAGCCCACCATGTGAAACCCCAACCCGCAGCCTTCGACCCGAAAACACATCGGTATGCGGACCCTAATAAGATAGTTCTCGAAACTAGGGTCCCTTCTAGCGCCCTGAGGGTGCCGTACTATATTGGAGACCCCAAAAAGGGACCCGAATTTCGAGAACTACCCATATTAGTAACTTTATAGAAACCCATAGAGACCCTTATAGATCCCATTGAAGGAACCCCTAAAAAGGGACCCGAATTTAGAGACCTACCCACTGTAAGAGTGTTTTTAGGGACTTCCGGGAAGGGAGCCCCTGGCTGCGGTCCACGTGGAGGTCGCTCCAGGCGAGGAGGCGGCTGCAGCCAAGTTGCGGCCACTCCTCGCGGTTTCTTAAACCCTATATAAACCCTAAACCCTAAACCCTGACACCTAAACCCTAAACTGTAGGGGTTAGGGGTAGAGACCCATCATTCTGCGGACTGGAGGGGTCATAGAAGAAATGTGTGTACTCTCAGGGCCTCTCGGGCGCATAAACATCAGGACATACAGCTCGGGGTTTAGGGTAAAGGTTGAGGGTTTAAGGTTTATAAACCCTAAACCCTAAACCCTAAACCCTAAACCCTAAACCCTATAGGTGCTTGGGCTTGGCGCTTCAACACTACGGAATTGACAGCCCCTTGGCATGATGTGATCTAACAGTAAGCCCTCAACCCTGAACCCTTTGTTGCACACCCAAGCTCATGTCCGGAGAGACCCTAATCCCCAAATCCTAAACCAAAAGCCCTAAACCCTAAACCCTAAAACAAAAGCCCTAAACCTAAAACCCTAAACCCTGAACGAAAAGCCCTAAACCCAAAACCCTAAACCCTAAACGACAAACCCTAAACCAAAAACCCTAAACCCTAAACCCTAAACCAACAACCCTAAACCAAAAACCCTAATCCCTAAACCCGGAAGTGTGTTGGTACCCAAGGAGGTCCAAGACCACCGGACCAATGAGCCGAGAGATCTGGGGCTTGGGCTTAGCACTTGGGCTGATGACACTGCATAGACACATGCATGGGTATGTGTACATCTATGTGACTGTCTATGCATGTATGTATGTATGTATGTACGTACGTACGTATGTATGTATGTATGCATGTAGGTATGTAAGCGTGTGTGTGTGTGTGTGTGTGTTTATGCATGCATGCATGTGTGCATGTGTTTGTATATGTGTGTGTATATATATATACAAATTAGTGCCATCAACATGTTTTAATATGTGTATGACTATGTTTACGATTATTGCGATTACCATTAGCATCGTTTTTGTTGTTGTTATCGTTATTATCACTACGGCTATTGCTATTACGTTTATATTAGTATGAGAGTTATAATTATTACCACTACTATTATTCAATACTATTGTCATGGTTCTCATCACTGTTGTTGGTGTTGTTGCTGTTGTTGGCGGCACTACTATGAATGTGATGATAAACATAGTGTTCTTACTATTATTCATAATTTGTGTTCACTTTTGCACCAAAATAAGTGTTCACCGAGCCAAGATAAGTGTTCACTTTGCTACCCAAAACCCCATAAAGAGTTACTGTTAGAGGAAGGGTTTAATTCATAATTACTCTAACCACTCTGGCAGTCACAGGACCAATCAACAGTGTCAGCTAGTACTCGTATCTTATACTGTGTCTGCTTGGGAAGGGCTTGGGGGGCTTAGGGTTTAAGGTTTAGGGGTTTAGGGTTCAGGGTTAGAGGGATAGGGTTTATGCTCTGCGGTTCAGCGAACTCGAAGGTGCTTTGACTTGATGTGTCGGAAAAGAAGTTAGAAGCAATCGCGACAAGCTCCGACGGCCAATAGTTGTGCAAGTTGTTGCAGGGTTGAGATCTGAAGGGGAGGAAGCAGATAACACTGTAAACCCCGGAACCCTCGAACCTCTTGAAACTGTGAGCCTGAACCCTGAAATCCTTTAACACGGAATACAAAATCCCCATAGGCGCTCAACCACGCCTCGGCTGATGTGAACTCATCTGCCTCTCTGCGAACTGCCGCGAGACCTCACGGGTCCAAACTCAACGTGATCTCTTGTGTTGGAATAAATGAAGAAGGGTGTACTGCAAAGAAAAATTCTAGATCCTAAAACCCTCAACCCCTAGAACCCACACACTAAAACAGAGCGATGAAACCTTGCACTACAAATCCGTATGCCTTATGCCCTCATATCCGAACCCGTAGCTCTCAGCAGTGTATCTACAATTACATGTTTGGACCCTCGTCGACCAAGGACGGAAGGACATGTCGGAAAAGGGTACGTATGGCCAACACTCAGCCCCAAAACCCTGAAGGCATAATCTAAAACATATTTGAGCACCTAAACCGTCTCATATCCCATATCGTAACCCCTGTAGTATGCCTTATTAATCCCTTATGTTCCTCTTATGGTATTCCTCTTGGCCCCACTGTCAGGAGCCATGTACGCAACCCTAAACCCTACCACCCTCACCTTAAAAGCCTCTACCACTCTAAGGACAGCCAAAACCCTGAGCCCGAAGCTCTGAACCATCAAACCCACACCCTAGGCTTGGGCTTAGGTTAGGGTTTAAGGGCTTTGTCGCGTAGTGCCTTTTGTTCAAAAAGGCAAAAGGGGTCGATGCAACCGTGGCTGTTGCGACGTCTTGCTTCGGAGGCTGGACTCCCATAAAATGTGGACTTTCGGAGCTTAAGGCGGTTGTCCCAAGGAGCTCAGCTGGAATGGAAGTTCTCTAGGGTTTAGGGAGTTTAGGATTTAGGGTTTAGGGTTTAAGGTTTAGGGTTGTGACTCTTGTGACTTACAGATCCAAGTACCTGCTTTTCATTCTGCCCACAACCTATACATCACTATTACCTGACCCCAAAACCCTAATCCTACACCCCAAGTACCTACCCAAGGGTCCATGTGCGCAAATAGTATATACTTTGGCCTGAATGTAGTCCCTAGATAGGTACTTTAGGGCCAATGTACAAACTATTTGGATACATGGACCCTTGGGGCTAAGAATTGGATCCCTTGAACCTCCATCTGCTCCTGGAAGCTTTGATAGGGCCCTAAAAAACACATAAGCAAAAAAATAGGATAGGGATATCCCATATACATCCCCGTATAATCAAGCCCAAGAAGGTAGGGATATCCCTATAAAATGCTTATGCTTACGTCCTTTTTGGGTCCCTGAAAACCACCATGGCGGGTGTAGGGCGGTTCTTGTATCAGGGGGACCCTTGGGGATATAGACTCTCTCAATACGCAACCTTTGAGGATGGCCATAAGTAGGGTGAAGAAGGGTCCACTGTAACGGTTCTCCCTAATGCTACCAAGGGCTATAGGGGCCTTATGACTCAGACCATGGTTGTGGGGGGTATGGTATACGTTATACTGAAAGGGTTCTATAAGGGCTGCTAGGGGTATAGAGGCCTTAAGTGGGGCCTTAATCATTCCAACGGGGCTCCCTCAACGGCTTCCTTAAAGGCTGTCAAGCGTGACTGGAAGGGTTTTACAGAGGTCTTCATCTGAGCCGAATAATTAGGCTAGTATTTCGGATACATAATCATAGTAAAACTATCGCAATCGTAACAGTAAGGACGTAGTAAAACTATCGTAGCAGTAAGGAGCCTAAGGAATAGTACTGCAAGTGATTAAGGCGTCTATAGTGCTAGGAGTCTTTCTGTTGCTGCACGGTGGCCCAGCCCCAGGACGAGCTCTAAGTCCAAAAGCCTGACCTAGTATAGAAGCCTGAAGAATCAGAATCGGGGCTTTGGGGATATATTAACAGTATCACTATAAGAGAGCTATAAGGGGATCTTATTACTAGGTGTATTCCTTCAAACCCAAGCCCCAATCACGCAGCAACTTTTCCCACCCCGCGAAAAAAACTTAGGGCTTCGGTAGGGTTTAGGGTTTAGGGCTTTGGTAGAGATTAGGGTTTAGGGTTTCTGGTCCACGAAAGCCCGACTCATAACCACTGCAGGCCGAAGGGGGAATGGAACTAACCTCGAAACCGATGCTAGATCCAGCGCCTAAACCCTAAACCCTGAATCAGTGTCATGAGAAGGGGAAGAGCAGTTATAGAGTCAGATGCAGAACTATAATCAGTAAGCTCGGTCATACTATGTCATAATGCAGTGCATGGCAACATCTGACACAATAAACCGCTAAACCCGAAATCGTAACTAGAACCCCCCAGCCCCTCCAAATCGTAACAGATTCCGTATGGAACCCTGGTCGAAACCGGAAAGGCTGTAGCTAGGCTGGCCCTGTACAACCTTCGAACAATATTTGTACATAATACCCTCTTCTTCCCATACGGGTAATTCTCTAAACTAGGTTCCCTTTTCAGGTGCCCAATATAGTACGGCACCCTTATAAAAGGGACCCTAAAAAGGGAGCCCAATTTAGAAAACTACCCATCTGGTCAAATGAAAAAACATCCGAGAGGCCGACCCCGGTAGCAATTCCGACGCCAAACCCCTAAACCCCTCAAACCCTAAACCCTAAACGCCTAAACCCCTAAACCGCCGTCGAGATGCCCGAATTGTCTTCGAACTCAAGCCTTTCGAACCTTGTGCTGAGGGTCTGAGGGTTCAGTAGGAGTTAGGATTAGGGTTTAGGGTTGAGGGTTTAGGGTTCAGTATGAGTTAAGTTTAGGGTTTAGGGTTTAGGGTTTAGGGTTCAGTATGAGTTAAGTTTAGGATTTAGGGCTTAGGGTTCTGTAGGAGTTAGGATTAGGGTTAAGAAGGGTCCCCTGTAAGGGGTCTCCCTCTTTTTGCCTAGGATTATGTTCTCACTGCTTTTGGTCTGATAACTTAATTATAATGTTTAGGGGTCTAGGGTTAGGCTCTTTGGGGCTTAGCAAAGACAGCTATGGGATACTATAACCCTCAACCCTATTCTAACCATCAACGCCCCCATCTCAATCCCAAACTCCGGAGAAATATCTGCAAGCCAGATGCCACGCAAACCCCCGTGACCATGTCGCATGTGCATCTGGGTCCTGATACCTTCATTTCATAAGCTTACCTGTGGCTCAAAAGGCCTACTTTCTGAGGAACTATATATAAAAATCATGATAATAAGGAACCCCAAACCCTAAACTCTAAACCCTAAAAAGGTAGAACTATATATATATATATATGCTAATATATATATATATATATATAGAAACCATGATAAGGAACCCCAAACCCTAAACCCTGACAAGGTAAGTCTTTTCGGCTACAGGTAGGGCCTAGGAGTGATGGAGTTTGTCTCCATTGTCTTGAAACTGCTGAGGTTTCAGGATCAAGGGTCTAAGCCACTAAGCCTCCACTGAACTTCCAGTACCTCTTCATTGAAACATCTAACATAAGATAATGTATATAGTTGTAGGACCCGTAGTATGAGCGCAGGAGTAATTCTGAATTAAGGAATATAGGGTCCTTATATACAAAATGCCCCCTAAACCCGAAACCATCCTAAAACCTAAACCCTAAGCCCTAAACCATCCTAAACCCTAAACCATCCTAAACCCTAAACCCTAAACCATCCTAAACCCTAAACCCTAAACCATCCCAAACCCTAAACCCTAAACCATCCTAAACGCTAAACTGGTGATAAAGCGCCTTATGGAACCTCCGCCTTCGTCTCAGGAGCGTTGCCTGAAGCCGATTTGTTTTGCATCCGAGCAGCAGCGGCTTGCCTCGCGTTTCAGGGTTTGGGGTTTAGGGTTCAGGGTTTACTAGGGTTTCAGGTTTTAGGGTTTAGGGTTCGGGGTTTAGGGTTTAGGGTTTAAGGTTTAGGGGTTGGAGGATACTGCGCTCGGGGAGTCGAATAATGGTCTCTCCTTCATTCTGAAAAGTTTCTGAAGCTCGTCACTACCCTAAACCCTGAACCCTAAGAGGTGTTTTTCTCGCAGTTCGATGTGGGGCTGCGGGGTTTAGGGTTTGGTGTTTATGGGGCACAGCGAGCCTGAGCCTTCATTGCAGCCACAGTTACCATTTCCGGTCCCTGATCGACAGACTCTCGAAGCACCCCAGAGAGTGTTAATTAGGAAAAGTGAGGAACACCGGGCTAGGCGGTAGGATTATCCTAAACCCGAAACTTTATGGGTTTAGACTGTGGTAACTTCGAGGAACCAGAAACACTAAGTCTCGCCAAAAACCACCCTGAGGGTAACCTACACAAGTTTATGTACCCGAATGCAAGACCTGGCAACACCGCATCAGACCGTTGAGAAGCCCTTATAACACCTGTTTAAGCCTTATATCTTGAACCTAAGCCTCTCCTCGTCAAACACTACCTAAACCCGAGAAACCTACCTGCGAATTGTTTCATCTTATGATTTCCTAACATGAGTCTTCCAAAGGCAGGTCTTTAGTGGATCAACGTCAAAGAAACACAAGTCACAAAATCTCCTGCTAGTCCCTGTAGACTGCTCTACACTACATTCTTCCCAAATATTAAGAACATGTTACAAAAACCCAATGCCCTTATCATAGAACCCACCCTGTCAGGGTGGGTTCTCTGGCCTGTACCAGGAAGATCAGCTAATTAAACCTTTAGAGTCAAGCCCTATGCATCGATATCGAATACGTAGACGACCTTAGTCTAACAGCGTATTCTACAAAGGAAACTACAAGGCCCTTAAAGAACCTTGATTTGGTCGTCGCAATAGTTAATAGTAGTCATAGTAGTACCATGTCATTGTCACTATAGAAGGCCTTTTAACAACCCTGTTGCAGGAAACATAAACCCTGAACCCTGAAAACTAAACCCTATGAGCCCTACACGCCCCTAACCCCTAAACCCTACAACCCCAAACCCCAAATTTAGGCGAGGCACCCTTCAGGTGTAGGCTCCTCGGTACCGGGCCCCATGGCAGCCCGGATAGGGGTCTTACGGTCTTAGGGCTCCCGTAAGGGCCGGGTTGAGGGTTGAGGATTTAGGGCTTAGGATTTAGGGCTTACGGCTTACTAGGGCTTAGAGTTTGGGTTTTGGAGTTGAGGTTTAGGACGACTTGGGGTTGGGTTTAGGATTTGGGGATATTTGGGGCTTTAGGGTTTAAGATTTAGGGTTTATGGCACAACATGGCTGTCCTACAGCCAAGTACCTTTAGTTATTGGGTCCTTTACACCCTCATGAGTGGTGTTGAGGCGACTGAAGCCGTTTAAGTCTTAGTCCGAAGCGCTGGGCCGTTCTTTACCCCAAGACTCCATGGACATAAAGGGCTCGATGTGGCTTTGAGGGTTTAGGGTTTAGGGTTTAGGGGTTTAGGGTTTTTCTATTGGAGTCACAATGGAGCCAGGAGCCATCAGGTTTATCGGGGTTTGGAGCGCTCGGGGACCCAGCAAGTAGGTACCTGGGCATAGGATCGCAGCATTTTAAGCTCGTATTTTCAACGAGTCAACAAGAACACTACCGTGAACCCTGATTCCCAGACCCCTAAAACCATCCGTGAACCACAAACCCTAACCCCTAAACCCTAAACCCCTAAACCCTAAACCCCAAAACCCCAAAACCTAAACCCTAAACCCCTAAACCCCTAAACCCCTAAACCCTAAACCCCGAAGCTTTAAACCCTAAACCCCAATACGCTCAACATGGGTAGAGCTTGTACGACAAGTTGGCTTAGAGTTTAGGGTTTGGAGGTTTAGGGACAAACATCGAGCCTGTACAAGACTTGCATCACAAACACAGTTTCAAGTTTTCCAAACACTCAAAACTGGACAGAAACTACCTAAACCCTAAACCGTCAACCTAAATCCGCAATAAAGGGCCAAGCTGCGCCCAGCCCTTCGTCGGACCCTCACCCTCCTGAAGCTCGAAATGCAGGCGATCTCCGACCAGTGCCACCTATGGGAGTTTTGGGTTTAGGGTTTGGGGGTTGGGGTTTAGGGTTTAGGGTTTGGGGTTGAGGGTTTAGGGTATAGAGTCTTGGGGTGCTTAAGGTATAAAGGGCTTAGGGCTTCGAAGGCTTAGGGATGAGGTTTTGTTAGGGTTTAATGTAGGGGCCTTAACAATTAGAATAGGGTTTTGGGGTATACTATAAGCATGTTGAGGAACCCCCAGGATAGTATAGGTTATTTCTGAGGCACCCTAAAACCGGAACCCTAAACCCTATATTAGGGCGTTTAGGGTACAGGGCTAACCCTAGACCCTGTGGGACGTCGCTTGGGCGAGCTCGAAGTCGGGAGCTTCAAATTAGGGTTTAGGGTTTCGCGTTTACGGTTTAGAGTTTAGGGTTTCGGGTTTCGGGTTTGGGGCTTAGGGCTTCGGGTTTTAGGTTTCGGGTTTAGGGCTTAGGGTTTCGGGTTTAGGGTTTCGGGTTTAGGGTTTATGGTTTCGGGTTTGGGGGTTAGAGTTTAGGGTTTAGGGTTATTTACATAGGCTTTGCAACATGACAGCACCTTACTTTCCATGTCGGTA